TCCCAGCTCCTCGCGGCCCAGGTGCCAGCCACGCCGCCTCCTCCTGCTTCTCCTCCTCCTGCTCCTGCTCCTCCTCCTCCTCCTGCTCCTCCTCCTCCTGCTCCTGCTCCTCCTCCTCCTGCTCCTCCTCCTCCTGCTCCTCCTCCTCCTCCTCCTCCTCAGGAGGGGACCCACCTGTGGCCCGCCACGGAGGCGAGGCCCTGCGGAGGCGAAGCCCTGCGGAGGCCCCTGCGGAGCCAGCGGGGTGGGAGGCCCTCGGGGGGGAGCCGTCCCCGCGCCGCGGCAGCGCGATATCCCGCACGGCGTGCTGCTGCGCCACGGCGGTGTCGTCGCTTCCCGCCTGCAGCACGCGGAGCCGCTGGCCCTTTCGCCGGGCCGCCTCCTCCTCCTCCTCCTCCTCCTCCTCCTCATTCTCGTCCTCCTCCTCCTCCTCCTCCTCCGCCGAAGGGCCGGGCCGGCCCGGGGGGGCCGCCCCAGCCCTTCGGATGGGTCGAGCCACGATGTCGGTGGCGAGGGCAGTTCCCCCTGGAACGGGTACTGCTGTCCGCGGCGGCATGCGGGCTCGGCGACGGTGACGGAACAGTGGTGAGGGTGATGGTGATGCTGCTGATGATGATGCTGCTGCTGCTGATGATGATGATGATGATGATGATGATGACGCTGATGTTGATGATGATAATGATTCTGATGCTGCTGCTGCTGCTGATGATGATGATGATGATGGTGGCGGTGATGGTGATGATGATGCGCTGATGATGCTGCTGCTGATGATGATGCTGCTGCTGATGCTTATGATGGTGATGGTGATGATGATGGTGCTAATGCTGATGATTTTGAGCTGCTATGATGCTGATGACGATGATGCTGATGATGATTATGATGATGCTGATGATGCTGATGCTGATGCTGATGCTGATGACGATGATGATGCTGCTGGTGATGATGATGATGCTTACGATGAAGATGCTGATTGTGATGATGACTATCCTGGTGATGATGCTGATGATGATGGACATGGTTGTGATGCTGATGATGATGATGCTGATGCTTCTGATGATGATGATGATGCGGCTGCTGCTGATTCTCATGATGAGAATGACGACGCTGATGATGATGCTGATGATGGTGATGATGCTTATGATGCTGATGCTGATGCTGAAACTGATGATGATGCTGGCGTCGATGATGATGCTGATGCTGCTGATGATGAAGATGATGCTGCTTCAAATGATGATGATGAGGATGACGATGCTGATGCTGCTGATGATGATGGTGGTGCTGATGATGATGATGATGTTACTGCTGATGATGATACTCATGATGACGAATCTGATGATGATGCTGATGATGCTGCTGGTGACGATGATGATGATGATGCTGATCATGATGGTGCTGATGATGATACTGATGGTGATGATGATGCTGATGATGTTGCTGATGATGATGACGATGATGCTGATGATGATTATGATGCAGGTGCTGATGCTGCTGATGCTGCAAATGATGATGAGGATGCTGATGCGGATGAGGACGATGACCATGATGGTGATGATGACGGTGATAATGATAATGATGATTCTGATGACGATGATGCTGATATTAGTGATGATGATGATGATGATGATGATGATGATGATGATGATGATGATGATGATGCTGCTGATGATGATGCTGCTGCTGCTGCTTCTGATGATGAGGATGAGGGTGAGGATGAGGATGATGATGACGCTGATGCCGAGGCTGATGTTGATGATGATAAGGATGATGCTGATGCCGATGATGCTGATAATGCTGATGACTTTGCTAATGCTGATGATGATGCTGATGATGCTGCTGATGATGATGATGCTGATGATGATGATGCTGATGATGATGCTGCTGCTGATGATGATGAGGCTGCTGCTGCTGATGATGATGATAGTGATGATGATAATGATGCTGATGCTGCTGCGGATGAGGATGATGAGGATGATGATGATGATGATGATGATGATGATGATGATTATGATGATGATGATGGTGATGAAGCTGCTAATGATGATGATAATGATGATGATGATGATAATGCTGCTGCTGATTCTGATTATAGTGGTGATGATGATGATGATGGTGATGCGGCTGCTGCTGATGCTGCTGCGATGATGATACGACGACGATGATGATGATGCTGATGATCACGACGACGACGAGGATGATGATGATGCTGATGCTGATGCTGATGCTGCTGATGCTGATGATGATGCTGATGATGACGATGATGATGATGGTGGTGGTGGTTATGATGATGCTGCTGATGCTGATGCTGCTGCTGATGATGATGCTGATGATGATGATGATGATGATGATGAGGATGATCACGATAATAATCATGATGATGCTGATGCTGATGTTGATGCTGATGATGCTGACGATGCTGATGCTGATGCTGATGATGAAGATGAGGATGAGGATGATGATGATGATGCTTATGGTGATGATGATGCTGATGATGATGCTGATGATGATGATGATGATGCTGATGATGCTGATGCTGATGCTGGTGATGATGATGATGATGTGATGATGATGATGCTGGTGAAGATGATGGTGATGGTGGTGATGATGATGATGATGATGCTGGTGCTGATGCTGATGCTGCTGCTGCTGCTGCTGCTGCTGCTGATGATGATGATGATGATGAGGATGAGGATGAGGAGGATGAGGATGAGGATGAGGATGAGGATGATGAGGATGAGGATGATGATGATGATGATGATGATGATGATGATGATGATGCTGATGATGATGATGATGATATGATGATGATGATGATGATGATGATGATGATGATGATGATGATGATGATGATGATGATGATGATGAGAGATGAGGATGGATTGAGGAGGAGAGGAGGGAGGAGGAGGAGGAGGAGGAGGATGAGGAGGGTGAGGATGATAGGAAGAGGGCAGGAGGTGGTGTGGTGGTGGAGGAGGAGGAGGAGGCCGAGTGAGATGATGATGATGATTATGATGATGATGATGATGATGATGATGATGATGATGATGATGATGATGATGATGTGATGATGATGATGATGATGATGATGATGATGATGATGAGAATGATGATGATGATGATGATGATGATGATGATGATGATGATGAGGAATGAGGAGGAAGGAGGAGGAGGAGGAGGGAGGAGGGAGAGGAGGAGGAGGAGGAGGAGGAGGAGAGGAGGGAGAGAGGGGGCGGAGGCGGGGGGCGAGGAGGAGGGAGAGGGAGGAGGAGGAGGAGGAGGAGGAGGAGGCGGAGGCGGAGGAGGAGGAGGAGGAGGGAGGAGAGGAGGAGGAGGAGGAGGAGAGAGGAGCAGAAGCAGGAGGAGGAGCTGAAGCAAGAGCTGGAGCAGGAGCAGGGGCTGGAGCAGGAGCAGGAGCAGGAACAGGAGCAGTAGCAGGATCAGGAGCTGGAGCAGGAGCAGTAGCAAGAGCAGGAGCAGCAGCTGGAGCAGGAGCCGGACCAGGAGCGGGGCAGGAACCGGAGCCGGAGCTGGAGCAGGAGCAGGAGCAGGAGCAAGAGCAAGCGCAGGAGCAGGAGGAGCAGCAGCAGGAGCAGCAGCAAGAGCAGGAGCAGGAACAGGAGCAGGAGCAGGCGCAAGCGCAGGAGCAGGAGCAGGAGCAGGAGCAAGCGCAGGAGCAGGAGCAGGAGCAAGAGCAGGAGAAGGAGCCAGAGCAGGAGCAGGAGCAGGAGCAGGAGCAGGAACAGGAGCAGGAGCAAGCGCAGGCGCATGCGCAGGCGCAGGAGCAGGAGCAGGAACCAGAGCAGGAGCAGGAGCAGGAGCAGGAGCAGGAGCAGAACCAGGAGCAGGAGCAGGAACAGGAGCAGGGACAGGAGCTGGAGCAGGAGCAGGAGCAGGAGCAGGAGCAGGAGGAGGAGGAGGAGGAGGAGCATGAGGAAGAGGAGGAGGAGCATGAGGAAGAGGAGGAGGAGGAGGAGGAGGAGGAAGGTTTCGAATCAGAGTGCGAAACTAATATTACGATTGCTACGACTAGTAATAATCGTGCTCTTAATTTTAATGCGAATAATCACTTTCATAATCATAACAATAAGACGAATAATCATCTTACGGCTACGGATAGGAAGCATCAGAAGACCAATGCGCCGAAACATATGAAGAACACGAATACTAATATGAATGCGTACGCTAGTAATACGAAGCATGCTTCGATCATTATTACTAAACAATGCGTGCGACTAGTAATACTACTAGACAAAATCATACTGTTCATAAGAATGAATACTAACCCGAATACTGATACTGCTGTTACTTAGATCAGATCCCATAATAGTAACACGAATGATACGGATAATGATCATCTTAGTAGTATCAAGCGGATCAATATCAATTCGATTACGAATGCGAGATATACCAATACTACAAATAATATGAATACACATAACTCGACTACGAAGACGAATCCAAGTACGAGCAAGCAACATAATAATACGCACACTTAGAACAATGATACTAATATGGTGATTCAGACTACGCATACAAAGAATACTCAGCCGAATCATAATACTATGAGGAGGAGGATGTGTAGCAGGAGGAGGGGGAGGACTCGGGGGGATTTATCCACTGGTCTTGCCCGTCTCGCCGCATCGAAGGCATCGAAGGAGGATCAGGAAAGGGCGGGATGACGGAGGAGGAGGAGGCGGAGGAGGAGGAGGAGGAGGAGGAGCTGGAGGAGGAGGCGGAGGAAGAGGAGGCGGAGGAGGAGGACGAGGAGGAGGATGATGAGGACGGGGAATGGAAGAAGGAAGATGAGGCGGAGGGTAGGATGATGATGCTAATGATGCTGCTGCTGATGGTGCCGATGATGGCAGTGCTGCTGTTGATATGCAAGTTGATGATGATGGTGATTGTTCTGGTGATGGTGATGGTGTTGTGGGTGGGTGGTGCTGCTGCTGTTGATAAGTCTGATGATGATCATGCATCTCCGCCCGAGCTGGGCCCCAGCGCAGGTGCGCCTGCGAGGCCAGGCCGGCATCCACAAGAAGCACAAGGAGACCCTGGAGCGGAGGATGGAGGCCGAGCAGGAGAAGGCCGCCGCGGGGCCGCGGGGTTGGAGCCCCGTCACCAGAGGTGGGAGGAAGTGAGGAGGGGGTGGATTTGGGGGTAGGAATTGGAACGTGAGACAGGAGAGGGGGGGAGGAGGAGGAGGAGGAGGAGGAGGAGGAGGAGGAGGAGGAGGAGGAGGAGGAGGAGGAGGAGGAGGAATAGGAGGAGGAGGAGGAGGAGGAGGAGGAGGAGGATTTGGAGGATTTGGAGGATCTGAAGAAGGAGGAGGAGAAGGAGGAGCAGGAGGAGGAATGGGAAAAGGCTAAGGACGGGGAGGGACGGTGATGGTGACGGTGATGGTGATCATGGTGATGGTGGTAATGGTGATGGTGGTGATGATGCTCGCCCTCGTGTCGCACCATACGGTTCCTCGACCTCGTTCTGTTCTTGGACGTCCTGTTCTTGCACCCTTTCGGCACGCACGTGCAAGCTTACATGGTCTGAGCGTGGCTCTCTTTACTCCCAAGCCATCCTCTGGCTCTCCTCGCACCCTACCACCCCCAGGATTAAAAAGTCCGGATCGGCACTGCAGGCCCCCTTGCATCGTCGCTCCCCGAGAGGTAAACATGACTGGCAAGAAGTACCAAGCAGAATCGCAACTTCCAAGCAACATAACTGGGACCGGAAATTTATTGGCGAGGAAGTCCCAAGCGAAATCGCCAATTCCGGTCGTCACCCCATTTGGCGATTATAATATTAGAGGGGGTGAGGATGGACCGGAAATTTAACCATGACGGCCCCTGCAACATTGTTTCGGGGCCCCGTGGCGTAACGGGAGCCGAACAACAAGGCTTATTCCCCGACCTCTGCGGTCCGGACTTTTTATTCCAGGGGGTTGTACGCGCGCCTTCCCCAGCCTCTCGTGCCGCAACTTGCCCAGACGCGTCCCGCCGCTGCCGGAATGCTGCTTGATCCCGCGCGGCCGCCGAGTAAACAAAATGATGATGACGATGTTAGTGCGCTCATCAAGCGCATCTAGCAGGCAGTGCTAGGGGCGCGCTGAGGAGGAGGAGGAGGAGGAGGAGGAGGAGGAGGAGGAGGAGGAGGAGGAGGAGGAGGAGGTATACGCTAAGCCCCGTTGGGCCGTAGGTGGGCCGGTGTCGCTTGTTTTCTGGTCCACAAGCCCCGCGAGGATCAGTACCTCAGGATCAGGCCAATCAGGGGCAGCCTTCGGGAGGGACAGGATCAGAGGGGGTGCGCATCGGCCCCCACCCGCACATACATCACCGATGTGGGCCCGACAGCCCACCCCGCCCAGGAGCTCGTGCGGATCCGCTCTCGGGGGCGCATGGCCGACCGGTCGGCGAGGTGCCGCCGGTTTCCAGGGCGGCGACCCCCCCCCGAGCCGGCCTCCCCTCGACGTTTCCCCTCAAAGACTCACGTGTGCATGAATTCGCGTGGGTTTTGAGGGTGCGCTGTACGCGTCGAGCACGTCTTGTTCAAAGACAATCTAAACGTAGTCTGGGGACTGACTTCGGACTATTTTGGATCATTTCTTGGAGTATTTTCTGACTATTGTAAATCTTTGCCCAAAGTTCGTCGGTAGCAGGACTTTTTTGATCCGCGGGTCGAGAGCGCACCTCTTCCGGTCGAAGCTAAGCGGGCTGCGCACAGCTTTAATTAACAGAGGGGGGAAGGCAGAAGGAGGGGCCTCACGTCAAGGCCAGGAGGGGGCAAAGCCCCGGAATCAGGCGGTGCCGAAGACGATGTGCATGCAAAGGAACGCCTTGTACAGGAACCCGGCGGCGAAATACTGGAAGAAAGAAACAACATGCTGTGGTGGTGGTGCCGTCAGCGGCGCGTCATGTACACCTGCCTCAAGTGGCCGCGGGAGAGGACGCACCACATATCCAGGGCGACGCCCGGGAGGGTGAGGAGCACCGCTGGGCCGGAGTGCAGCGTTGTGCCACCGAACAGGATGCGGGAGCGGGCCCAGGCCGTGGTTGTCCAAGGTGCCACGGACACAGGGTACGAGAGCCACAGTCTGAGGCGCGGCAGTCAGGTCCCGGTAGCAGGACATGCCCGACCTAACTTTACGCGAGCCCTCTCAGCACGAGGGCGGCCACGCGAGCCGGGGAAAGGGGCCACTTTCATGTGCGTGGCTGGGCGCGTTACGTCTTCTTTGTGGGGGCGTTATGTTGTCGGGGGCTCCCCCGCCAAGGAGCACCCCCCCCCCCCCCGGAGCGTGCCCCCCCGCGCCAAGGAGCACGCTCCCTCCTCAAGGAGCGTGGGCTGGGCGGAGAACCCCCGAAAACCGTAGAAACAAATTCGAGTTTTTTTGGGGGGTGTTTTTTTGGGGTCGGGGGGCTTCAGAAATATCATTGTTTTGAATGTTTTCGTCCGAAATATTATTGGTTTGAGTTTTTTTCGGGGGGAGTTCAGAAATATCATTATTTTTGATTGTGGGGCCCCGGAACCCCCGAAAACCTCTCCGCAAGAAACCCGGGCTGGGGGCCTGCTTGGGCCCTAGTAAGAGGGGCTCCGCGTCGCCGCGGCTGTGCATATCCACCCAACGTAAATTCTGGTCGGAACGCCACCCCGGAGACGGCCGGCTCTTGGTGGGAGAGGTCCGCTCCGGGGAGGGATCCTTCTCTATCAACCACGCGCAGAGGGGGGTGGGGGGAGGGGGGGGGATTTTCGGAGACACCCCTACTTCGTAAAGGCGCGGGCCTTCTCTAGAGATGTTAGGCCGGCGCCTTCTAAGAACCAGCTTCCTTCTAAGAAGCCCCCCCCCGCTCCATCCACCAAATTCAGGCGATCGCAAACATGGATTAAGGGGGCGCGGGTTAGCGACGGGTCCCGTTTCCACGGGAAATCGTGGATTTGCGCCGCCGAGCGAGGCGGCAGTGGCCGCATTTAGGGGAAGGCACATCCCCCGATCCATGGATTTGGCGACCGCGCGCCAAATCCATGGATCGTTAATCCATGTTTGCGCGCCCCCGAGAAACCACCCCAACCTAGCCCGAATGCCTCAATTTGCCTTACATTTCCGGTGGGGGGGGGATTGGGGAACGTTGACAATTCACATGTGGAACCCGTGCCCCCCCCCACCCAGAATTCGGGTCTTCGGGTTGGGTTGGGGCGGTCTGGTAGCTAGTCAGTCTACAGCTTTGGAGGCGTGGCCTTCGAAGATCCGGCGGAGCGCTGGGCGTGGATACGGTAGAGGGAAGCAATTACTGAACACTACCCCCTCCCCGACAGACTCAAAGTTGGCACGCGCGGGGGAGACTTGCGGTTGAGGTGCAACTCGTCAGACCCACCGCCAACTTTGAACATTGGGGGTGGGGGGAGGCGTTGACAGATGAATGTGGCATGAGAGTTCGCTATTTTCCCGAGGCCTGACGTGGCCTTCGAGGATCCGGCGGAGCGCTGGGTGTGGATACTTCCTTCCCTTGGTCGGAAACTTTTCCACCCCAGGAATTATGTGAGGGTCGGGGACGACGTCGGGGTGGTGTGGTGTATATTTTTTCTCCCCCGTTTCCCAGGGAAGAAGCGAGACATGAATACACCAGGATCCCGTATACACCAGGACCCGCTTTCCTGTGCGAGTTTCAGTGCGGGGCTGGAGAAAAGCGTCGGTGTATAGAGTTCGGCTCTTTCAGTTTGGGGGGCGGGAAGGTATCCATATCCAACGTTATCCGAGATCCCACCTCCGAGGCGGGAATTTCTACATGACCACCGCCTGGAGGCTCAATCTTCTGGGACTTCGGCAGGCGGTGGACATTGATATATGGATATATGTGTGTATATATATACATACATATGTGTGTGTATGTGTGTGTATATATATAGATATCTTCGGGCGCCCGGGGTGCCAAGATATATACCCATATCCGCCGCCCGCTGGGGCACCAGGACGCCGGTTCCCAGGCGGTGGATATGGATAAATCGCGGCCTCGCAAGAATTGCCCGTCTGTGGGTGTGGACAGATCCCCGGCCTTGGCCGGGGCGAGCGCTTGCGCCGCCGCCTTCGTCGCGACGCTGGCTCGCGCCGGCGCCGCCGGAGGGGCGCCCTGCGTCGTCCTGGAGCAGGGAACTGCCGTGCCGCGTGGCCGTCTGCCAGGTGCCTGCTCCGTGCTGGCTGCATCCGTAAGGGACAGTCGGGGATGGACAGAACCCCCACCCGGACACGTCGATTAGTGAATTGTCCGTCTTCGGTTCTCGAGAGGGCGCCGCGGCCGTCATTTTCCAGGCTCGCGCCCGCCAGGTGTGGGCCCGAGGCCGTTTTCACGAAACCACGTTTTACCAAAGGGGGTTCTGTCCATCCCCCAAGACAATCGGGGGATCGCAGATACTGTCTGGCAGCTGGCTTTCCAGGCCTCCCTTTGGCCCAGACCCCTCGGACGACCACAGGGACTGTTCTCGTGCAGCTGGCTATCCAGGACCTTGTCTTAGCCGAGCGCTGGGCTATAGGGGGGTCGGTCCGACGTTGGCTCGTATCCTTGGGCTGTCTGTCTGCGTGGCCTTCCGGCCCTTCCTTCCTTTGACTCGTGCTCATCGTTTGACTTCGAATGGTCGACGCCTGACGGGACAACCGGGCGCCCTGGCGTGCGCGATATTGATATTGAAGTTGATGATGTTGACGATGACGATGACGATGAAGATGACGACGACGATGGTGATGATGATGATGATGATGCTGGTGATGATGATGATGATGATGATGATGATGATGATGATGATGATGATGATGATGGGGATGATGATAAGTAGCGATGATGCTGCTGCTGATGATCATCATGACGACGACGATGATTATGCTGCTTTTGCTGATGATGATCATCATTCTGATGATGATGACGACGACGATAGTGATGATGATGATGATGACAATGACGAATATGATGATGATGATTAGTATGCTGATGCAAATGCTGATGCTGATTTTGATTAGACTGCTAATGATGATACTAATAATGATGCTGATGATGCTGCTGATGATTGATGATGATGACGATGATGAGGATGATGATGATGATGATGATGATGATTCTTATCATTATGCTGCCGACGATGATGTTGCTGCAGATGATGATTATGCTGATGCTGATTCATTGATGGTGCTGATGATGATGCTGATGCTGATACTGATGCTACGGCTGATGCTGACAATGATGATGGTGATGCTGATGCTGCTGCTGATGATGATGATAATGATGATGATAGTGGTGAACGTGATGATGATGATGATGCTAATGATGCTGATGCTTATGATGATACTGCTGATGCTGATGATGATGATGATGCTGTTTGTTCGGACGACGATTTCTCGGTGCTGCTGCTGGTGATGGTGACGATGATGATTCTGATGACGATGATGCTGATGATGCCCGTGATGATGAGGTTTAGGTTGAGGTTGGGGTTGATGTTGCTGATGCTGCTGGTGATGATGGTGATGGTGGTGGTGATGATGATGTCGATGCTGATGCTGATGCCGATGATGATGAGGTTGAGGCTGATGATGATGCTGATAATGATAATGATGATGATGATGATGATGATGCTGATGATGAGGATGAGGATGAGGATGATTGTGATGCTGGAGATGAAGATGGTGATGCTGATGTTGATGGTGATGGTGATGGTGATTATGATGTGGATGATGGTAATGATGATGATGCTGATGCTGCTGTTGATGATGCTGATGCTGATAATGATGATGCTGATGATGCTGATGGTGATGATGATGATGATGATGATGATGATGATGCTGATCATGATGCTCATGCTGATGCTGATGCTGCTGCTGATGGTGATGGAGTTGATGATGATGCTCATGCTGATGCTGATGCTGCTGCTGATGGTGATGGGGACGATGATGATGATGATGATGATGGTGGTGGTGGTGGTGGTGATGATGATGATGATGATGATGATGATGCTGAAGATGATGCTGATGATGAGGATGAGGAGGAGGATGAGGATGAGGAGGAGGATGAGGATGAGGAGGAGGATGATGACGATGATGCAGACTCTCACTGCGACCACGATGATGGTGGTGATGGTGGCGGCGAGGACGACGAGGACGATGAAGATGATGACGATGACGATGACGTCAGCATCGCTGCTCCCCCTGACCGCCGCCAACACCGCAGAAACCGTCGGAGACCCTCCCAAACCTCTCGGACCCCCCCAAACCTCGCCTTTCCTCCTCCCCCTTTCGCAACTCTCCGATGCTCTCGTTCTTGCTCCCGACGCGGGCGCCTGCGGACCTGCCTGGGGGACCCCGACAGGTCAAGAGGGAGGAGGAGAAGAACAAGAAGGCCGAGGAGCCGCCGGGGGCTCGTTGGGAGTGCCTCAGCCGGGCGCCGCCTGCCGCTGCCACGGCGCGGCGGCCCTGCAGCTCCTCCTCCCTGAGTTTCTCCGCCTGCTCGGGCTTGTCCTCCTCCTCGAGCTCCTCCTCTTTTCTTCCTCTTCCAGTTTTCAGCACGAGGGAGGGAGATCCAGGATGAAGGAGGTCTTGGATGCTTTTCGCCGTGTTCGGGCTCCAGGGGCCCTCGCTGGGCCCTGGACCATCCGACAGTGGCCTGGGACGGAGCGCCGGTCCCGGAGAAAGCGCCGTGGTCCAGGGCCCCCGTTTCCACCAGGACCCCCTTGAGTTTTCTTCTTCCATGTGCCAAGTGCCATGTGCCAGCATATCGGACGAGGTCCGCGCCGCCGCTGGCCCGTGAGTTCTTCCTCATCCTCTTGCTCCTCCCTCTCCTCCTCGCTTCTTTCTCCTCCTCGAATCCCCTCCTCCGCCCCTTCCTCGTCCACCTCCTCTATAACTCGGCCCCGAGGATGCAGCCACGCCTTGAGCCTTGGAGCCTTGAACCTCCCTCTATCCTTTCTTGCTCCTCCTGTGGACTCCCTCCCTCCCCCTGTCCTGCGAACGCGGCGAGTCGCTGCCTGCTTCACCGTTCGTCGTCCTGTCGTCTCATCGTCGTCGTCGTCGTCGTCTCTTTTTTGTTCTCTTTCTCTCTCTCTCTCTCTCTCTCTGGGGACATGCCCCCCATGTAAAGCTGAATGCTGAACGACTACCTCCCTCGTCCCTCCCTCACTCCCTCCTTCCTCTCCCTATCTCTTCCTGCCTTCCTCCTTCCTCTTTCTCTTTCACGTCCTCGTCTCCTCGGAGGTTCGGGCGCAGCCAACCCTCGATCCTTGAACCTTCTCCTCTCCTGCTCCACCTCCTCCTCCTTCTCCTCGTCCTCCTCGTCCTTATGCTTGTTCCTCGTTCTCCTCTCCTCCTTCTTGTTCTTTGTTCCTTGAATCCTCGTCCCTGTTTTCCTTCCTTCTCTTCCTCTCTTCCTCTCTTCCTCCTCCTTGTCCTCCTTATCCTCGTCTTTCTCCTCCGCAATTGCTCTTTATGCGTGCTAGTCGCCTCTCACCCCTGAAAGCATCCTGCCGTTCACCCACCACTCCCGTCTATTGCTTTCGGGGCACTGGTTTTTATAGTGTTCGCACGTTTTTTTTTGTGTGTTTTTGTTCAGCTTTGAGCGTGATCTTTTTTCAGAACGATATTCCCGCTGCAGCGTTTGCCACATTTCAGGACCGGTGCCGCGCCCTCGTCGTTCAGAATGGCGCTCTCGCCCCAGCGCGGGCCGCATTTTTCTAGTTCCGATGCGTTCATCGTCGTGTCCCGCTGATCCCTCTGCTCTTCCTTCTACTGCTCCTTCTTTGAGGCCCCCCCCTCCTCCTGCTCATCTGCTTCGTCTCCTCCTTCCCCTCCCCGTCCAGTATGCAAAGGGCGCCCCTTCCGGTTGGTCGGCATACGGCAGGTCGATCTGTGCAACAGTCCTTTGGGGATTACGACCCTCTGCAAGCGGATAGGACTGGATTCAACGTAGTGGGACCGGATAGGCGGGATGGGTCGGGTGTCAGATGTGGCATGAGCGAATTTTCCGTCTCCCAACCTTCGTCCTCCCTTCCTTCTCCCTTCCTCGCCTCTTTTTCTTTCCCGCTTCTCCCTCCAATTCCCTCCTCGCTCTTGTCTCCTTCCTTCCCCCTGCTTCTCTTCCCCCCCTCCTTCCCCCTTCCATCCTCCTGCAGAGTTTCTGGGCAGCGCCAGCTGCTGGTACGTAGCGTCAGCGCCTGGGGCGGTTCATTCGACATTCACGGAAAGGCGCAGATGGCCGCGATGCAGATGCGGTGGAGCATGTGTTGCGAGCTGCGTGGAGTTCGATGCTCGCAGGTGATTCGGTCCATAATTGATGGCCTGGTTGGACTTTTCGCATTATGGTGATGGGCGCCTCGCGCACTGCCTCGCACAGTCGCACGCAGCAGTCAGATTGGTCTGCCGAAGTACATTCCGAGTAGAAGAGCAACGATACGGGCAAATGTAGCCCACCTGCGTTTTCCTTGACCGTCTGGAGGTTCGCGCAAGCAAGCCCGATGTTTTCACAAACAACAGCTTCTCCGCCTTCTTTGTCATGGCGCCCACATCGCAGAGCGGATTTCGGTAGGAAAACAATAAGATGGACCCGGGTTGCCCTGGATAATTTCGTTCCAGACTTCGAGGTGAATATCGTGCGTTTTTTTCCAGCCAGATCAAAAATAATTCACGCGAAATTCACTTCGTTTTTTGCTCGCCGTTTCGGGCAGAAATCCACGCAGACATCCGCGCAGAAATCCGCCGCAGCACGTCTGCAAGGCCTGTGCTGCAATGGGAGGTTCGCGCAAGCAAGCCCGACGTTTCCACAAGCAGCAGCTCCTCCGCCTTCTTTGGGGTGCTCTCCAGCCCGACGGCTGCCCAGAAAGAGTGTCTCTTCTCGTCGTGGTCGTCGTCGTCCCCTTCTCTCGAACTCCTCCCCCTCCACCCCCTCTCCTCCTCCTCCTCCTCCTCCTCCTCCTCCACCTCCTCCCCCTCCTCCTCCTCCTCCTCCTCCTCCTCCTTTTCCTCCTCCTCCCGGCCGGGCGAGAGGAGAAGATCCACACGCTCATGAAGGACAAAGACTCCAACGAGAAGGAGATCAAGGAGCGCGACAAGACGATTGCGGACAAGGAGCAGCGGATCAGTGACCTGAAGAAGCAGAACCAGGACGCCGGGGCCAGGAAGAGCTGGTGTCGGGGGACGTCACCTAATCCGCGGGTAGAGACCAATAGGATGACGTCCTCTTTTCGCGGGGCCGCGCCGTTTTCTCACTCGCAGGCCACCTCAGCTAATTTTTCTTTATACGTCCCCAAAAAGCTTCCCGACTCCCTCGTACCTCCTCTTTTCTTTCTTTTTTTTCCATGGTTCCTGATACCCCGTGCGTACCGTCCTCTTTGGCCTCGTCGTCTTTCTGGCCCACCTTTTGCTGTCTGCTCCCAACTGCCTCCTTCATCATTATGGGATCCGCTCCTTGTCCTGATAATTATCCCCTTCGTGCTCTTCATCACCCTCCCATCATTATCCTCACGTCTCCCTCGTCGTCCTTTTTCTGTTTATCGTCATGGTTTTGCTCGGACTGTTGCTGCTGCCCCTCTTTCTCCTCCCTGTTTTCCCTCACGTTGTCTGGCCTTCCTGATCCAACCTCGTACTCGGCATGATGCTCCATGCCGCTCTCGTTATTCTCGTCGTTCTCTTCCTCTTCCGTGTTCCTCGCTCCTCCCATTGCCTCTTTTCCTTTTCTTTGCTCATCTCTTCTCAGGGGGGCCCTGGACGTCCAGAGCGTGGAGACTGGGGGCCCAGAACGTGACGACGGTTTCGAGGATGCGAGCCTTTCCGTCAATAGCGCAGGCATGGGGGCGCTCGGGGGGGCCTCCTGACCGCCCCCAGCGTGGACTGGCGGCGCAGCAAGTGGTGCCATGCTCGAGGAGGGGAGCTTTTCCGTCGAGGGCGCCGACGTTGGAAGGTGTGGATGGTGACGGCAGAAGGTGCTTGGGGCCTCCGACCGTCCTCCGGGCGCTCCTCCTCCTCCTCCTCCTCCTCCTCCTCCTCCTCCTCCTCCTCCTCCTCCTCCCCCTCCTCCTCCTCCTCCTCCTCCTCCTCCTCCTCCCCCTCCTCCTCCTCCTCCTCCCTCCTCCTCCTCCTCCTCCCCCTCCTCCTCCTCCTCCTCCTCCTCCTCCTGACCATGGGGCGAGGAGGCTACCGTGGACGAGGGGGAGGCAATGGCACCTATGCCACGAACAAAGGAAAAAGGAACAGACAGCATCAGCTCAACCTCCCCGTCATGGCCATGGACAACATGCAAAGGATGCGGAACCTGGAACCACAACGACGATTGGAACACGTGGGGATGGTCATGCAACTGCGGCTGCAAAGTCAAGCAGCCCAAGTGGACCGACGACAAGGGCAAGGGCTCCGCCAAGGGGGTCGACGACCAGCGGCGGCAGATGGTTGACGCGCTCCGCGGCATCGCGAGGTCCCTGGCCAGCATGGGCATCACCACGGGGCCCGCAGCACAGTTGAAGGCAGTCGCTGATGGCATTGCACCGCAGACGGAAGAGCCGACACAGTCCAAGCCACGACAGCTGCGCAATGCAGCATCACGATTGGAGCGGGCCAACGAGAAGTACGAGAAGGCGTACGAGGAGGTTGCGGCAACTCGCAAGGCCCTGGCAGAGCAGCGGACGCGCCTCATGGAGTGCGCCAGCGCGGTGATCGAGGCCGAGCAAGCGGTCGAGGAGATCACAGGCGTCAAGCAGCACACCAAGGTCAAGGAAGCAGCCACGAAGGGCAATCTGGTGCAGACCGTCCTAGACCTGGACTTAGAAGACATTGACAGCCTGTGGCTCGACTACGACCTCGACGACGACGACGGCGAAGAGTGCGACAACGGCGCGCGCGCCGCAGTCGCGGACGTCAGGCGCCAGCTCCTCGAGTCGTACAAGGACAACGCCGCCACATACATGCAGGGCCTGCGGCAGCGCCTCCAGCACGCACGAGACGCCGCACGGAATAACCGAGAGGAGATACGACAGGCTGCGAAGAAGCGCAAAGTGGAAGGTGGAGCTGCTGCGGCCCCGCCACCACAACCACCACCAGCACAAGACGCACAGCAGCAGTCGCCAGCACCCGCGACGCCAAGGACCCCACGGACTGCCTCCAGCGCCAGCAAGACCAAGGACGAGCTCCTCGAGGAGGTGCGCGCCAAGGCCCGCCAGGCCGAGGAGGCGCAGCCCGAGGGGCATCCTGAATGGGGGTCGCGCAGCTCCCGTCGCCATGCCGACCTTAGCGGCGACGCGGGGCGCAACATTTTCGTCGGCAACTGCACGGAGTGGGGCACTAAGGTGAAGGAGTTTCTCGCAGGAGCAAGGGGCCCCAAGCGGTTTGACGCCTTTGCCATGCAAGAGACTCCCTTGCGTGTGCACAGCATAATGGATGCGCAGAGGGACGTGATGAACATGGGCTATAAGGCCTCCTTCTCACCAGCACGACAGTCCTCCGAGAGCGAGGACGGCTCCAACGGAGGAACCTGCGTCGGCATTCTTTCCTACCACCAGAGCGAGTGCTTCCGCGAGCAGGCAGCGGAAGGCACATGATCGGCCACAACAGCGGGGTTACTCAATTTACCACGCGGGAGCCCACAACACCATGTGCTGGCACCTCCGCGGCTTCAGCCTCATGGTGATCGGCGTGTACTTGGACCCCGCGGGCAGCCTACGCGGAATCAACGCGACCGGGCTTGCATCGCCGGCGCCGTTTGTGACGAGCTGCCGACGCCCATGGATTGCAGTGGGCGGCTGGAACACTACGCCAGAACGATTATGGGCATCGGGCTGGCCACAGGCTATTGGGGCAGACATCGCCACCATCCCAGACGGCTACACTTGCTTCACCTACAACGGCAAGAAGGGCACCACCTCGGCATCGCTCATCGACTCCGCCCTGGTCAGTCACGACTCCCGCAAGTACTTCATCGGCCTGGAGACCACGGCGGCGCCGTGGAAGACACGCGTAGGGCAAACGCTGAGGATGCGAGGGGCCGCCAAACCAGTCACCATCAGACAACTGCAACTTCCAGCCCGCTTCACGCACCCACCTGCCCCTCCGAAGTCGCCCGACCCCAGCCAACAGCAAGCGACAGGGGGAAAAACACAGCGGCAGATGCAAGCAGCTGGCGAGATGCAGCAGAGTTCCAACGGCCAGCACCAGCAGGTACCTGACGCACCCGACATCAACATCCAGTACTACACGGACCTCACTACCGAGATGAACATGATGATCAGAGCTGGGCAACTCAGCATCGAGACCACCAGCGCCGACCACGCACAACAATATGGACAACCAAGACCACGACCCTATGAATGACATCGACCAGGACTGGCACTACGACATCGACACCAACCAGCCCTTCGACGAGCCGCCGCCCTGCGACTACGAGGGCCAAGGGGGCGACCAGAAGCTGGAGACCGTGCAGAGCGCACTTGAGAGGGCGGTCAGGACGCCGTCTCAGGAGCCCTCGCCCTCCCTCCCAGGTACGAAGTCCGCGAACACCGTGGACACTCGCGTTCTGGACGACTTGTGGCAGGTGGCGCGGGTGACTTCGAAGCCTCGGCCCGAGTACGAACAGCCGCCTGACTGCATCAGCCACGGGGCAGCCTACATGGCCGACCCACGTGCGGCCAACGCACTGGGGCAGGAGTGCGGCCAGTTCGTTAACACCTTGGAGACCTTCTACTGCGCCGCCTACGCTATCCAGCCTCAGGACAGACACCGCTACACAGGAAGAGGCAGGGCGAGGAATATGACAACCGCGAGAGCCACGCCACGCACCAGACGCACACATTACAGCAACCAACAGTCCGACTGGTGGGGACGACAAGCCACCACGCCGCGGGCCTACCTCACATTGCGGCAACGCGGACACGGCGTGAAGCAACAACACCAGCTGGAGGCCGCAGCACGACAATTGGTTTATGAAGGAATCCCTACGGGTGGAGTCCGACTCAACCCAACAGCCAGACAGCGCCGTGACTTGTGGGCCGACCGACTACGACGGCTCCACAACATCGGATTGGACATACTATAGGGAATGACGGACCAAGCCGAGCGCGAAGTCCAGAAGGCCCTGAAGTTTGACGTGCGAGCCAATTCCCGCAATTTCATGATCTGGCCTACCGGCGCGACGAAGGCCACCCCAGACAAGCTACACAAGATGACCAAGCCACAGCCACGACGCGAAGACGAGTACGTCCACGTCCGAGGCAAGGCCTGTTGCCCTCGAACCATCATTGACGCCAAGACCGACGAGTTCAGAGAGCTTTGGCATCACCCAACGCTCTCGCACCAGGACTATGTAGCTATCATCACCGACGTAAAGGACAACGCCAGCTCAGCTCCAGTCACGCACTGGACCTTGGACGACCTGGACTACTCGCTGCGATGCTCCCCCGACAAGGGCAAGGGCGCCGACAAAATCACAGGCTCGGACCTGCGACGACTCCCGCAGGCTGGGCGGCAGCAGCTGGTGGATCTGTTCAACAGCTGCGAGCGCGAGCTCGCTTGGCCATGGCAGCTTCAGAGCACCATCATCATTCTGCAGCCAAAGGCAGAAGGAGACAGAGCGCTGGGGCTACTACCGCAGATATGCAGGGCTTGGGAGAAGCTCACACGGCCAACGGTGGACAAATGGATACGTGTTGCAGGTCGGCACTGGGGCGCGGCCCTGGCAGGTGGCAGCTGCCTGCGGGAGGCCGCAGCGCGCGTCCTGGGCGACGAGATCTGTGACGCACTCCAGCTCGCGCATGCCGCCGCATTGGCAGACATCAGAAAGTTTTATGACGCGCTGGACATCCTGCAGGTGGTGTACGCGACCAGGCACATGTGGTTCCCTCCACGGGTACTGGCGCTAGAACTGCAGCTCCACACCTTCGTGCGCTTTCTACGACAAGCCTCGACATACGGTCGGCCAGTCCTGCCTTCCCGCTCTTTGGTGGCAGGATCCCGACGCGCGAACAACCTCGCCAGAGCAGTCATGTACCAGGTGCTCCACCGCATGCACTACCAAGTCCCAGCAGTGATGCCTAGGGCATGGTTTGACGACGTGGGGCTCCGGGCGACAGGAAGCAAGCGGCGAGTCCCCGATACTATTATCCAAGCAACCACCTCTTACG